GTTCTTCATCTTGGTATTTATATTTTCTAAGAGTCCTCAAGGGTTAGGGTATGATTTTTGGGCCGAAAAGATAATTAAAAATTTGGGTTTTAACATTTCGGGATTTGGCGCCATGGTGTCGCGTTTATCATGGTAACTGGTGCCATGGCGCCCAGGTCTGGTGCTGTAGCGCCAGAGTTTCTGCTTCAGTTGGTCTTCATTGGGCGCCATGGCGCTAGTGGTTCTGCTGGAATTCATAGCTTTGGGCCGCCATGACGCCCCTTTTTCGGCGTCGTGGCGCCAATGCCACTACTTTGCTTCTTTTCACTTTGTTTTCTAAACCTATTTTTTACTCCAATCTTATTCAATACTTGCTTATTCATGCTCCATTTCATTGATCATCATTTTTCCTCATCATAGGTTCCCAATAGTGGTATTTTCTCGAGAGTTGTCCAAACTGCAAAACAACACGAACGCACACATCAAAACATTCAAAAATGCCTAAAAACACATCAAAAAACGTGATTTAGAGGCTTTAGTTTAATGAGTGAATTACACTCATCAAGAAGATACACGCCTTCTTGAATGGTTGTTATCTAATATAGAAAATGAGCTTGAAAATGCTGAGGTATGTCCAAAATGTGGTTGTTCAAGATAGAAAGTTAACCAACGGACTAAAAAAATTGATAAAAAATTCCAGCAAAGGTCTTAAGTTATTTTCCTGTAATACCAAAACTTAAGAGTGTTTGGAATATATGAGATGGCAACACAACTTAGCTATCACTCAAGTAATAAAAGTTTCGACGACAAAATTAGGCATCTAGTTGATTCATTGAGTTAGAAAATAATTAATAGAAGGCGGCTAAATTTTGCATTAGATCCTCTAAATATTAGATTAGGTCTTGCTACTGATATATTTAGCCCTTGTTTGAGCCACATTATTTTCTTTAGAATGTATTTTTGAATAGTGTATTGATGAGAAATGTATGGTTAAAAAATAAAGAAAAGTTCTGAATTTGCATATAATATTATTTTATTGAAAAATGTGTGGTTGAAATGATATTAAATCACCATTTAAGAATGTATTTTTTAGAAAAAAATGTGGCTCAAACATAGTTTTAACATGGAAACAAAAAAAATTTCAATATTGAAAGTGGGAAAATTGGTAAGGAAAGATTGTAACCTATGTTATTCTATGGCGGACTATTTATTTGTGCGAATAGATAATGCAAATTTCATGAAAACATCATACCTAAGGGTTTACAAATTACTGAACTTCAAAAATTCCTAGATGCCTTCTTTTGGAGATAAAAGATGAAAATTCAATAATAAGTAGACTGGCTAAGCAAAGCATTTCCATCATAATATATTGAGTATGTCAAGAGGAGCTGTATGATTGCATGTATCAATGGAAGTTCAAATGAATTAATGATCGGAAAAAATGATCATATACTTATTGATTAACTATCGTGCCTCCATGTATTTATATGTTCAGGACTAATCTCTTACGTACTGGTGCTTAGGTGACATTGCACATGGCACGTCACCTGGTGGTTAGGAGATCAATTCCATTTGTATGCCTTAGTTTCCATTGTGTCCACATGTAACGTTTGTTTCAAATTACTCTATTTATTGCATAAACTATGCTAGTGAACTTTCAAGTGACTAGTTCCATAGCATTACCAAATGACTATTTTCAGTCGAAAATATAAAAAAAATTTCATGTTACCTATTATTTCAAATATTGATGTGTTTTATTTGCATACAAAAGGGTGTGACATGCTCTCAAACGTAGAATGCAGTGATCATTAATATTTTTCCATTGAATTTCTCTCAATAGAGAGGACATTACTATAATATTTTCAATGATTTTGTTATGTAGTAATCTAATGATTTTTTGATTGTTTCAAATTCGGATATGAGATTTAGCAAATCAAAACAAACCAAACAAGGGTGTAAAATTCAGAGTCCCAAATCCTCGATGATAGAATCTTATTTGTAGATGAACTTTCAACTACCTAATTTGTTAAGGAAACGAGTGACTTCTTCAAAACAAAACGTATATGTATAAATCTCAGTCTTTTTTCAATAATCGCTCCTTAGGAACAACACAATGTTATGAGAAAATCATAAAGTCTAATAGTAAACTCTTGTTACAATTTCGATCTCGACAATGTTGATGAACAGAAGTATAAGACAAAGAACACCACAATTGGGTAGGAAAGAATATTTTGTAGAGAGTAGAAGATGGATTTCTATTTTTATTTATTTATTTTTTTGCTTAGCAGACTAATTTTCTAAAGTATACTAACAACTTCTCTCGAGAGCTAAGTTATGTACGAGCCTTGAACTACTTCACATGCCTCCATAGTACATGAAATCTTGGTCTCATGATAGTATCCTTTCCTCTATCTTGGATACCATCTAGGCCCACAATATTGTGAACATTTATGCAAAAAGGGCAAACTTATGCTTTTCACATGTCATATTAGACATTTTTCATTAATTTATTAGCAATAGACATTTTTCCCCCACTATAAAAAAAAAAAAATTTAATCTACTTCCCCATGAAAAAATTATTGAACTTTTTATCTATCATAAATCATTTAATTTTATTCAGTATTACAAAATCATACATGCACTTAATGAACAATATAACTTGGATTGTTATATTTTTATTTTTTTTCAAAATCATTCCCATAATAGCCGTAAATCTTATCTAGAAGTAAAACTCCTTAACTAAATAGTTACTTCTATTTTCTTTAGAGTAATGTGGCGGCATGATACCTTCTACACTTGGCCACCTGAACCTTTATGTTTCTCAATTGTGGTAATTGCATAAAATTCCTACTTTTGTTATAAAAATTGAATTATCATTTTATTTCTTGTTGATAATTACTCATTTCAATCAAATCTTTAATTAAAATTACTTTGTTTTAATTGAACACCCTTTTATATCCCATGTTTTTTTTCTCACCATTCCAAACACAACCTAAGCACCACAAAAACTCTAGTATCCCACCACCTCACCTACCACCATTGACGTGAAAATTTATCTTGCAACTCAATTTTTACTTAATCTTTTTCTCTAAATTCAATTTCTAATTGGTGTTCCCTCTTGCTTCTAAATTCACAACATTTGAATCATATTTTTCTTGCAATTGAATTATCTTTTCCACACTTATTTTTTCTAATTGAGGCTCTAAATTTCAAGTTTTCTTCGGTGCTAGCCCTTTGTACGTCTTAGTATCAACAGTAGCTGCCATCGCCGTCACGGCTAACATCTCCACCACCATCTCTTTCTAGATCTAAATTTAGATCCATACCCATATTTGGGTTTGAATGTTGATCTATGCTAAGATCAATATCTAAATGTGATAATGGTGTCACGATGATGATGATGGTGATGGTGCTTCAATTATTCTGATATTGTTGTGGTGGTAAGGGGTGACAGTAGCACGATGGTACAATATGAATGCAGCTAAAAATANAAAAATTTTAAAAGAAGGTTTTTTTTTTTTTTTTTTTTTTTTTCAGTTTTTTGAACAAAAGTGAGTTAGTCATGTTACCCTTTTTAAACTATTTGATTTTGATACTTCTAAGAAAAAAGTAAGAAAATATAAGCCCCCGTTTGGTCATCATTTTTATCTAAAATATATTTTTCCCGTCAAATCAATGTGGGACCTACATAATATTTTATCTTTTGATTTGAATTCAAAAATCCTAAATTTCCAACTTTACCCTTTGTCCGTGTCTTCATCAAGTTGATAGATTCCACCTGTTGAAAAGTAAAAAAATTGGATTTATTACACATTTCCCAAGAATTCATATCACACCCCATCAAACATTTTCCAAATTTTTGACATGAAATGGGCCACTGTTTATCATTCCACCTTTGTGGTTGCCCTCCCATATTGTTGTAAAAATCATCACAAAAATTCAACAGCAACTGGAACATCACGACAACCTAACGTGCACGCGGACCGTGATGTTCGCTTCACTTTAACTATCGAATTTTACCAAAGAAATGTGGAAAATTAAAATTGATAAATAACATCTTGAAATTCTGTTGTAAACATATTTTCGCTTATACGTTCATTGTTAATAATAAAATGTTTTGTATGAAAACGGGTTATGTTTTCAAAAAATGTAACTTTGGAAAAGTAAAAAGCTTCAATTCGGAAACATTTTATTCTATCAACTACGCTCAAGAGTGTCTACGAATAGAAGTATTTTAATTCTATTACGAAGTGCTATGTACAAAAAATAGGGTAGTGCATGATGAGCATTTTTTGCAAAGAGTAAAGTTAAGGGTGTGTTCAAAATTAAGGAAAAATATGATTTCAAGTGCATAATTATTTGTATGAAACACTGTACAACTGTGTAGGTTTGGCAAAAAAAATTTCAAGTTCATTGTACCAAGGAAATGCGCACCATAAACACGTTAAAGAAGGGAAATAGTTGGGCCTTAGAAATTTTCGTGAAAGATGGTCAATAATTGGCCCCTACCGCAGTGCACTTTTACAATCAGGAAAGCAAACATTTTCATAAAAATTACATGCAAGGCTTTAGAATATTTCAGAAACATATTGGCATTATGGCTGCTGCGCCATATAATCTCGAAATTTGTCCAACTCACTTCGTTGCATTTTCGGTGCATGTATTTCGGCATGCATTTCATCTTCTGCATTGGGAAGCTCCACCTCGGCTGCATCTTCATCTACCTTCGCTCTCGTGAACGTTGTGTCTACCACTCCTGAACGCCGCATGAAATTATGTATCCCTATCGTTGCAACCACAATGGCTACTTGCATTGGGAAGGGATAGCTAGCATGTGATCCAAGATCTTCCATCTTTCTTTCCACACACCGAATGCACGTTCAATAACATTCTTAAAGGACGAGTGCCTGAAGTT